ATCTTACAACAGGGTTGTTGTGCCATCTCTCAGAAATTCGTTTTTGCAGTGTGGGATGTCTGTATTCATGCCTGAGTTTCATAGTTAGTTTTCTTGTAAAGTTTATTCTAATAAACAATACAGTTTGGCATGGTGACAATGTCTTTTTGAAGTAAAGAACAAATAGTTGTATAAACAACTCCAGGGAAAAAACAAAGATTGCCAATTGCAGTATCAATTAAATAAAAAGCAAAAGGGGGTGTAATACTGTTTTGGGTATTAGCACTTAATAATTCCAAGACCCCTGTGGGAATCACATCCATGACAATAGAAAACTCTCTTGGTGTCAGTGGAATTTCATGGACATCTAGAAACTTAGAATAGGTGGGCAACCTGCCTTCTTGATTTAATAATTGATTGACTCGTAAAATGCATGCTCAATAACATTTTAACCATTTTTAAAACCAAAGCCTGCAAAAGAAGGGGTTACTTTGGGATAGGAAAAGGTATGTGTGACAATCAGGGCGGATGAGAGCCATGGGAATAGAGTAGCTCCTCTACGGCTTGCCATAGTATGATATACTGTGTTTATTATGTGAAAACAATCTCAGTTTGACATCATATTTGAAAACTTCTTAAAATTCTCAGTCTTTATGTGCTCATGCTTTTACAGTGAAATATTGAAACTGTATATTGAGATTTCATTAAAATATTGATCTGTAATTTGACCAGTGCAATGTTGTGATTAAAATATTCGATTCTCATCCTTTAACGTCATATAGAGCGCTATATGACAAAACGGCGCTATACTACGCTAAAGGCACCCGTTATCGTTAATATAACACGTGCTGTGAGGGCTAAGTTTAGGTGTGGGGTAGGGTGTACGTGTCATATTCACGCTGAAGGATTTATAACGTCTTGGGTTCGCGTGTTATATTAACGATAACGGGTGCCATGTGCGTAGTATAGCGCCGTTTTGTCATATAGCGCTCTATATGACGTTAAAGGATGAGAACGGGCTGAATATTCAACATACGTTGTAATTTTGAGGCAGAGGATTACTGTTAACTTCTAATGAAGTCTGCTTATTAAATACTATATATCAGTGAAAACACGGTGTTGTTTTCATTTGCCGGTTCAGCTTGTCACCATAAACCCAGTGGCGCATAAGCGGCATTCTAATATCGCTGGTGAGGCGCTTACTCTCACTGACTCACACATACAGTTTCATAATTAGGGTTATGGAGTTCAGTAAAATTATTATCACTAGTGTCATTGCACAGCAGTGTCTGTCAGTGTTTGCATTGTGCTACCGTGCAGCTGGAAATATGAAAACTCTGTTTGAGTGAGAATGCAATTCGAATCTTTTGTTCCACTTCCTGGGAAGTGCAAGAAATAATCTAAAAGGAACGTATTTGAGAGTACGCTTTGATAGTGCTTACTTTTGGATCCACAAGCCTTACTCTGATTATTATAATTATTATTATTCTCCATGGGGATGTTTGTGTTACTGTATGATTAAAATTCCTCTATACCTGCGTGACTCAGGACTGGAGGAGGATATGCTGTCTTTCCTCTTCATTTCTTCTCCACACTTACTCAGTCTGGCTCATGCTGTTGCATAACAACCCAAGAAAGTACAGCAGAGGAGTCAAAAAGCACCATCTCATCTTATAATGATGCTGTATTAGAGAAGAGAGATTTTTTTTTTTAAATTATTATTATATTTTATTTTATTTATTTGCACAACTAATAGTCAGTTTTACACAAGGCTGTAATTATTTAAATACTATTTTTGTCAAGCTAATAAACTGCACTGAAAGTAAAATTTGAAAGTGTCCAGTTTCCTCAAAATGGTAAAAATGCATATTTGGACAATTCCAATGTATATTTATAATGTAAATAAAGTAGTGGAAGTAATAATAATAATAATATATTTAATAATATAAAAAGTGACATGTGAAGGCCAAATATGGTAACCCATACCCCCATGTCCTCTTTATTTAACCGATCCAAGTAGTGAGCAGTGAACACATTCCCGAAGCAGAGGGTGTGTGTGTGTGTGTACATAAATTATTATTTTCAGTCCTCATTATGACCCTCTGACTTAAATGATACATTTTTAAGGGGCAGCTCCTTTAAGGCTTGTCAGTAAATTTGCTTCTCAAATATCCGTCTGCTTGGGTCTAAATGGGATTTACAAAACGCTTATCCATTAAAGATGGAACTGTACCCTACCCACTTTATTTGAACTACCTTGATCCTCAGAATTACAACCTGTAAGTATGATTAATTATTATTATTGTGGGGTGCGTTTCCCGTACAACGACGTAGTTCACTGTTTCACAGTGCGTAGTTCACATGTGCGAACGTGCTCTACTATGTAAGAACGAGCCAAATATTGAGTCTGGTAATAAAGCAAAACAAGTGAGAACAATTAGAAATAGTCCTCAGATGACATGTATGTAATTTATATAAAACAAATCCAGCATTAATTGGATCTCAAACAGTTTCATTAAAAGTAGTTAATACTCCACCACGTGCGAAACCAACGTGCGAAAAGAACCAAAGTATTGAACGATACTTTGCGACAGTGGGTTTCGGGAAACAGTCGTGACTAGCTAGTTGATTTTTCCAACGATGCATCGTACCATGGTAGTGAAACAGTGAGCTACGTCGTTGTACGGGAAACACAACCTGGATTATGGAACTAGTCCAATCTTGATTGGTGTTGCGTCATGACATCACTCATGACGCCGCATGTGAAGCTATTAAAGGATGCCAGATCATAACAGCGTCAGCTTTGTGGTCTTCAGCAAGCGTTCTATCTTATTTATTGTTTTTTGTCAGTCACGAAGCACAATATATATATATATATATATATATATATGAAGAGTTCAGATGCAAAAGCCTCTAAATGCCATTTGAAATTTTCTTCTTTAATGATGATTTTTATCAAACTTGTATTTTTAAGTTCAGTAATTTCACTTAAATGGCACTGATAATTACCTATTAATTGTTATTTAAGTGAAATTACTGAACTTAAATATACAAGTTTGATAAAAATCATCATTAAAGAAGAAAATTTCAAATGGCATTTAGAGGCTTTTGCATCTGAACTCTTCATATATATATTATGGCTAGTAAGAAAGTTTACAGTGCACTATATGTGGGAGGGTGACACACACTCGCTCTGTGTCATTTTCGGTAGTTATTGTCAAGTTGACGCATGTTTTCCAATAAGTTTAGTTTTAGTTAGTTATTGGGTGCTGTATGGTTGTGATTGACAGCTGTGTTTGTGATTGAGTCTGCAGGAGTGGGACCTTGATAGTTGCACCACCTCCAAATGACGTAATGGTGCAAGATGTCAATAATTATTTCTGGGATATTTTCGCTCATACATCTGTGCAAATTGTGATCTGCTTCCTCTCAGAACGCTCCGCTCCCGCCTGGCCCTGTTTAATGAGAGAGGCAAGGCTCACGCTCCCCGTGGATCGGGACTTGCGTCTGCCAAGGAGGGTCGATGTCTTTGTTCATGGGGATCGCAGATGGAGCTGGTTGGCGATATTGAGACGGCTTCGGCCCTTCCTCAACATTCAGCAGCCAGCTCTGTCAGTCCCGTTCAGGTTTGGGAAGCCCGCTCTACGGCTTCTTCCCCACAGGACGTGGACCCGATGCTTGAATTATCTGGATCTGAGGATTTAGATAGTTTGGGCCTCGAGGCAGGAGAATGTAAGGACTAGCCACCTCATTCTCCTGCCTTCGAGGAGCTGCTGGAGGTTGTGACCAGAGCAGTGGCCAAATTAAATATTGAATTGCCATGAGAAAAGCATTAGATGAACGTTTCCTGCAGGCTCGGTCACAGTCTTCGCGCCGGAGCCTCCGATATCCACGCTGAGGTGTCGAGATCGTGGAACAAGCCGTTCTTGTCACTATTATCGAGCGACAGGCTTGTCATGGAGATTGCCTGGGCCACTGGCCGCTCCATTGTAGAACTGGTAGACCAATCACAACAGACTGGGCCATCTGGCCAATCAGAGCAGAGCAAGCTCACGGAAAGGAGGGATTAAGAGAGACTGAATCTGCAAACGAGTCGTCTGAGAAGCATTGCAAAATGTGGCGATTCTCCAATGTATGAGAAAATGTTTGATGCATGTAAACCTGTTGTAGGAGACCTCCAAAACAAAATTAGGAACCTTCAAAATAGCATAGAGGCTCTTTAAAGTAAATTTACGAGTAATTGAGTGAGAACAAGGTTTTTGGTTTTGGTCAAAAAGAGAAAGTTTTTTGGAAGTGTGATGGCAACAGAACTGCTTTAAATTGATGGAGCATTTCAAAGTCAGAAGCGGGATCTCATATTCTTCTCAAATATATTCACACTCTTTAAAATGATATGAAAGAGAACTCTAAATAAACAAATTGAATAATGTGAATAGTGTTCATTGAATAATGATTTGTTTATTTATTTATTGTTAATTTTTACATGATATAATATGCTTTTAATTTGAATTTCAACAATGCCAAAACATTTGTTAGATCCTGAGTGCATGTGGAGCCGTTGTGAATGATGAGATTATTGGTACAGCACAGCGACTGTTATCTACCTTTCTCAAACATCATAAAACAGCTGCCAACCCAATAATTCATGCTTTTAATGCATTGTCATGGCAGTGCTTTGCTCATATTTACCAAGAAATTCCTTGTGTGTGCAAGCAGACTTGGCAATAAAGCTCTTTCTGATTCTGATTCCAAAATTTGTAATTGTTTGTGAATCTTGGAGGATTTCCACAGTGGGGATCACAGGTTGTAGCTATCAAATAAAAAGACATTGCCGACAACACATTCACATTAAAAAGTAAACCTGTGATGTGAAATGTCATTTTAATGTTGCAGAGCGATAACTTCTCTGATTCCTTGCAAACATAGACTGCTTTTTGTCAGGATGAATGTGTTTAGCTGTTCATCCTGATTCATATAATTCTCTTTTTATTTTTATTGTCTTTTCTCTGTCACTTTCCCAGATATACCAAGATGAAGACAGCTACCAACATCTATATCTTCAACCTGGCACTGGCCGATGCGCTGGTTCTGGCTACGCTTCCCTTCCAGGGCACAGATGTGTTCCTTGGTTTCTGGCCTTTTGGCAATGCCCTGTGCAAGGCAGTCGTCTCCATCGACTACTATAACATGTTCACTAGTGTGTTCACCTTGACCGTGATGAGCATGGATCGATACGTGGCCGTGTGCCACCCGGTGAAAGCCCTGGACATGCGGACGCCCCACAAGGCCAAAGTGGTCAATATTTGTGTGTGGGTCTTGGCTTCAGCCATAGGGGTCCCGGCTATGGTACTTGGAGACGTGGAAGATGACAACGGTGAGTGTGTGTGTGTGTGTGTATGTATACCTTTTTTGTTTTTTATTAGCTATTTACTACTAGCTACTTTTTTTACTACTTAACTACTTTTATTAACTATTTACTAAATCAAATTTGTGATTTATTAAGACACGTATCAGTAATGTGTGCATAGACAGCAAACCAAAATCGAGTTCTCTTTTTCACGCTTGAACAAACAACACACATTTTGTCGAGTGTCCTCATGAGAGCAGTCTTAAATAAGTTAAACAAAGTCTTAAATGAATGTAAATAGTTGTGAGAATGAGACGCGTGTGAGATCATTGTCATCCAGAATCGTCAGATCTTAAAGTGACGGCAGTCACTGATACTGTCTGTCAAGGTAACTGAGGAAATTATCTCATTTCTTTTGACTAAATAACTTTTGTCGCTTTGATAAGGATTCATCTAGATTTAATTTATAGTTTGTGCAGTGCAAACTGTTTGATATTTTTTTTAATTTCTGTATATGTCCTACCTATTAGACTGGTATGGCACAGGTAAATATTACGTTTATTATGGGTTTATGTGAGGATTATTTTAAGTTCACTTAAATTCAAATTTGTTATATTTTTTGAAGCCTAATAAATGTAATATATATATATATATATATATATATATATACTTTGTATATATATAATGATTTCAATTACACTGTAATGTTGAATGGCTATAATTCAACATTAGATATTGGCCTTCATTCATAAAATGATGCCATGTCTTTATGTTGTTTCTGCATTCATTTGAATATTAACTGTTATAAACTTATATTAAAAACATTAATTTTTTTAATCGTGAATAGTCAAAAAAATTTTGATTAATCTGTGTTGACTTTAATGTAAAAGATACCCTCAAATGCAGAAAATGTGGGAATGATGACAGTAACTCAGTCATTGAATATTAAACATTTCTTTAACGTTCAATCGGGAGTATAACCGTTTTACATATACTAGTATGCTGAATAACAAATTATAACACCTTAGACCTACCAGGGGAATCATAATACGGCTGTTTATGTGTGGGGTGGTTTGTTTGTCAATAATGCATGCAATATTAATGGGCTTTAAAAAGCACATCAGAGCATTTCAGTGTTAATCATTATGCTGTTATGGGTTCCATTGAAGTTACGGTAATTGCTCTGTTCAGAACCACAGGTGACCCATGAAGAACCTTTCCTCCCTGTGGCTTTGAGCTCTTGATAATCATAGTATTTGCTAATTGAATGAGGTTTATTTTTAGTAAAAAAAGAAACCCATTAAAGTACCTTACTAGGTTAATTGTATTAGCAGGAAAACGGTTTAATAACATGCTGAGCTTGCCTTTCTCCTTAAAATTGAGTGTGCATTCCTGTCTGAAATGCATTTTGAGTTTGTAAGAGTGAATCTCATGGGGGGAAAAAATGTCAGGTTGTATATAAAATAAAGTAAATTACGTTTTGATTTGTGACCTAACTATGTGTCCATCAGTGGAGGTGTGTTTGTGTGACCACTCATTTGTATTTGTGTGGATGTGTGACACTTGGGCCTGGTCTTGGGTCTGTTCGATATCTCCTCAATACCCTCTTCTCATCCATTATTCAAGACCCTAATAGATCTAAAAAATAATAATAATGAATAAGCAGATTTAGATTTATTGTGTTGTGTTGTGTAAAAAACCTTTGCTGATCTCTAGTTCCCTCTCAGGGAAGTAATTACCACTAAACTAACACATTAAAGGACATTGTACATTACACATGAATTATAAACCTAATCCTACATGGACCTATGCATGCATTTGTGCCTGAGGTTAATATTAATATTATTAGAGTTTAAAGACTTGCTTTATATCCAGTATACTTTTTTTTATTATTACTGGCCCTATACTCTTTGAAATTAAGTTTTGATATGTTTTAGCTTACCCCAAGGACATCTAAGATCTAGGTGTCTTTGTTTCCACAGTATTTTCAATTTTGATATTTTTAGGTCAAACCGTTCTGTCAGTCATATAATGCAGGTTTATGGTCACCACCTCAAAGAGCATGCACAGAGAAGTCCAAATTAAACATGATTTAATGACTAAATGTAAGTACACATTTTTTAAAGTACATTCTAATTCTCTATACATATCAGTATAGTTCTCTCCAAGTCTTGGCATGGCGGTTTTTTTTTTTTTTTTTTTTTTTTGTCACTATAAGCATTAAAGTTAATTAGTATAATCGTTTCCAGTTTGAATAGAAGAGACCACTCATGGAAGAGTGAGAAAAAGAGTAAATATCTTGCTGCATAATCATAATCACTGATTTTTTAAGAATTAATGGCAGATCCTTAGGGTCTGAGATGAAAGACAGATGCCCTCTTAAATAGGTTCTAACAATGCCAGCGTGCTTTACTGTATATAGAGTTTGATGAAAATAGCTCAGACTCTTTGGACACGCAGTACAGTTCAGATGATCGGTGTTTCTCTCAGCAGAATGTTCAGACAGATTTCTTTCGTAACACTCTCTCTCCTCTCCATCACTACCATGCTGCAACATATTTATTTATTCATCACTTCATGCAAGTTGCGTTCTGCTGCCGTTGACACTGCAGGGAAAGACAGACAGAAGCAGAGGGAGGGAGGATGACAGAGATTCAGAGCTGGGGGGATGTAGCTGTTAAATCTTTATTTAACTTTTTAGCAAAGCTGTTCCGTCTCAAAATAATCTTCTGACAAAGTGGACTTGGAACAACTAGTTGCTTGGTCAACATGGCAAAATGATTAATTATGATTCCATATTTCCTATTGGTGGACCGTGGGAGCAAAGAAATTCAGAAGCACTGCAAACTGTTGCATGTTTTACTTATAATTCTATTGTTTGCACAAAACTAATTCAAACTGGTTACAAGCATATATTTTCCAGTCTGTTTCCACAAGTATTTGAAGCAAAGAGATCTGTGCTTGTCAAAATCCTGCTGTTTTACTGATGTGATTTGAGTAACTGATTTTGGATGATACGAATACAAAGCAATTTTGAAATGCCTTAGAAATGATCCTGCAAAATGATTTATTTGAGTGGAGAAAAAAAATAGGTTTACTATGAAAGACACTGTTTTCTGGACCGAATTGTAGATTGCCTCTTATGTGCAGATGTAGTCAGGATGCAGCTTTTGACCAGATGGATGGATGGATGGATGAAAAACCCTCTCTTGTCAGTTGTGTCACATTTTTTAATAGGAGTGTTGATGTAGCTGGCAGAAAGTCCAGATTCACACATATCAGAAATGGAGAGGCTTTTAATGCTCTCAGATGTAAGTTGTCAAAAATGTCAAGAGGAGTGGCAGGGATAAAATGATTAACTGTGAAAAATATTTTCAGAAAAGGGCATGCTGAATCTCTAAAAATCTCTATATTATTGAGTGCCACTCAGTATTTACTTATCAGTTTTAGACATTTTAGTTTTCTAAATGTTATTGGGTAACACTTTACAATAATACAACATGAATAATCATGTACTAATACCTGAATTAATAATTAGTTACTATGAACTAATGATGAGTTAAGACATGTAATAATGAGGAACTAACCTGAACTACGACATGAGTCATATATGAATTCCTGCATGAATACACCATCTACACGTTATGCATTAATTAACATTTCGATGGAAAATAAATCAAACTTGCTCTAGAAAATAGACACATTTTGTGGCCCAGAAGAAGAGCAAGAGCCCTAACTGCCTAACATCCAACTGCATTATGATATAAAGAGAGTATACCAATCCATAAAATAACCACATAAATAACCATCATCTGTGCTAACACTGATTTTAATTTTGAAAATTGCACCTAATAAAGCAGCATTATGTTATTTTTGAAATTTTGCTCTCTGGGTCCCCCTACAGTTGGGAAACAGTACTACTACTATCGTAAAAACGCTCATGGTTACACTAGGGAACACACGTGCATTTATTGAAAAGCGATCCCCGAACTCTGCAGAAGGAAGGAGTTCTCACATCTTGGACAGACTGCCAGCATTGGAAATGAAATGTCTTCATCCCAGGTCCATTGGCATATATTTCAGCATGTCATATGAATATAGTTTCATGGGCTTTAATTATTATTTTTTTTTTTTTTCAAACGTCAAAAGATCGCGTAGGTCACGTTTACAAGCCAGCATCTTTATAGTAACGCTATCCTATTGGCTAGTGGCTACTGTTTTACATAATGGATATGCTAATTCAATGTTTGTGTGGTAGATATTAGCCATATGTTAATATTATTATATCAAACTGCAATGAATCTGCAAATTTGAAAAATCGATTTGCATTATACAGTGGCTTGCAGCAAGACACTTTCACCAGAAAAATAAATAACAAACTTGATTATCAGCCTGCAGACATAGGAAAGTTCTCCTGACAGTTTATTTTGTCCGTCTAATCATGTATTATTTACTTGCAAGAATGTAGCCACTACAAAACTCAGTAATCAGTATACTTTCACATCTCGAGCTGGCGTGAGCTGCCCGCCCCGGTTCTACGGGGATGCTTGTGTGTCTTAAGCGCCCTCAAAAGAAAGCAATGCAGTCTACATTGGATGCGGTGGGGGGGCGAAGCTACACAACACTTTACCAACAGTAAACTGATCGGGGGACTTAATTACGTTTTTGTGGAGTAGTATTACAAATGAATGTAATTAAAATAGTATTAGTATAAAAAAAATCACTTGTTCGCTCATTTTGGCGTAATCCAAAAATTTGACCTTTAGCAGCGAGGACCTCATGGATCGGTCTGGCACCCCTCCTCCTCCTTTGGGTCACGCCAGCGAGCTAAAGCTGGACCAATATTGATCCTCGTCCAGCCTTTAATTTTACCACTCTCCCTTTTTCTCTTTCCACTGTCCTCTGACAAAACCTTTGGCTTGTTGGTTGGACTTGCTGCTTCAGCCATGAAATCATACAGAGGAGAAAACAAAAAAAAAACACTCGTTGGGCTCTCGCGTCGGAATTTGAGGAAGTGGGGCAAGTGACGTATGCCGTAAAGCAGTCGAATTTTGTAGTTATTTTTGTGCTCGGGTTCTTACCCGCTCCCCGAAATTACATAGTGCCAGTTAAAGCGATACAGAAACTGTCAGGCTATCGTAGACCTGTCATTCAACCTATTGTAATTCGATGTACCATCTCAAGGGTTTTGGAAAAATATTATATGTTGAAAAAGTTACATAGTATTGCTTTAATGAATATGTTAGTGTAGGTATTTCATTCTTGATGGCAGCAGTGGAATCACTTAAAACAGAATGAGATTAAATGTTTTTTAATGATAAATGTATCATTGTGTGTTCAATGTGTAAGGTTAAATGTAAACATTGCAAAACATTCACTGATGTTTGTGACAGACGCTGGTGTCAAATTTACGAACAATTTTACATTGTGTACATTTAGAACATCTTTCTTCTGATCTAGAACATGATTGATTTATTTCCCCCATTGATTAACAAGCATGTATTAACATGTAGTTAAGATGGTGTATTCAAGCAGGAATTCATGACTCATGTAGTAGTTAAGGTTAGTTCCTCATTAGTATGTCTTAACTCATCATTAATTCATAGTAAATTAAATAAAGTTTTTTTTGTAATTTGAGATGCTGGTGTCAAATTTACGAACAATTTTACATTGTGTACATGTAGTACATCTTTCTTCTGATCTAGAACATGTTTGATTTATTTCCCCCATTAATTAACAAGCATGTATTAACATGTAGTTAAGATGGTACTGTATATTCAAGCAGGAATTCATGACTCATGTCGTAGTTAAGGTTAGTTCCTCATTTAGTATGTCTTAACTCATCATTAGTTCATAGTAAATTAAATAACGTTTTTTTGTTTGTTTGTTTTTATCAGTAGTCATCAGAACAGTAAACTGGATATTTTTAGGAAAATATCCTCATGAATTATTTAACTTGAATGTAGGCTATCAGCTTGTCTGTCTATCTGTCTAAACCCTTCAAGTTTCGAGGCTTAAATATGACAAAAATTTTTCTCTCCTCTCAGGCATCGAGTGCATTTTAGTTCTGCCGGATCCTCGCAGTTACTGGGATCCAGTGTTCGGGACGTGTGTTTTCCTTCTCTCCTTCCTGATTCCTGTGGCGATCATCAGCGTGTGCTACAGCCTCATGGTGAAGCGCCTCCGCAGCGTTCGCATCCTCTCGGGATCCAAGGAGAAAGATCGCAACCTTCGGCGCATCACGCGCATGGTGCTGGTGGTAGTCGCGGCTTTCGTCGTGTGTTGGACGCCCATCCAGATCATGGCCCTGGCGCAGTCACTGGGCTTCAACTTAGGCAGCGTCCAGACGGTGGTGTTCATGCACTTCTGCATCGCCCTGGGCTACGTCAACAGCAGCCTTAACCCCGTCCTCTATGCGTTTCTCGATGAAAACTTCAAGCGCTGCTTCCGCGAGTTCTGCCACCCCTCCCCGTTTGGCCTTGATGCGCAGCAGTCGAGCCGCATGCGCAACATCGCGCGTGAGGTGGCCTACAACTGCAAGACTGCGGATGGGAACAGTAACCCCGCATGACTAGGCATGGAGCTGCCCCTGGTCAGCCCTGAGCCGCAACCTAATCCAGGGACAGGAAACTCAAACTCTGAGCTGACTCAGATAACAACACTCTAGCACCATAGTCACCTCCGCCAGGTGGGCGGGGGAAAGGGTTGGGCTAGGAGTGAGGGCGGAGTCATGTTAAACGACACGACCTTTTAGGGACAAAGGGGCTCACTTTACAGTGTCTTAATTGGATTTGGATGTTATTGTCTACAATTCTGTTCTTATTCAATACACTTTGTCGGTCAGTGTTGCAGCCTTGTACAGATGCTTTTTATGTCTCTCTGTACAACAATCAATGTTTCTCTTTAAATTTAAGACTGTAGTATTTCATCGCCTTAAACATACTTCTGAACCTATGGATTAAGTGTTTCAGTCCTTTTTGTGGTATTGCCAAGTGTTGGACTGTACTGTATACACTATAGAGTATATATAGTGTATAAACAATATATAGTAAATGGACTGCACTATATATTATATAACTATATACAGTTATGACACGAATCTGAAACAACAGAGACTCGTAAAGCCTGATTGTTATTTTTATTTTCTTAAAGTTGATTTTTTTTTGGTTTGACTGTACAATAAGCAAAAATATTTTGTATTCATGTAAGTTTGGTAGCACAGATTCAAGCTTAAAGGGGACCTATTATACAAAATGTACTTTTATAAGGTGTTTGAACACACCAGCATATAATGGTTAAAACCGCCCACCTTTTTTTTTTATAATCCCAATAAACTATGAATTGTCTCTCCAAACAGAGCGGTTCCAGAAGCCCCGCCAATGACTAGAGATGATCTGCCCTATTAGCATAGATCCCGCCCTCAGGAGCAGCTGGAGAACCCTCACTGTAGCAGCTGGAGATGTTCAATGTCTGTGCCTGAAAAACCTTACAAATGTTCTGTCATTTGATGTACCATTGTCTCCTTAGACGTCCGACATCTGAGCCACTGAGGACACCATGGTTGAATTTCAGTTATGAAGGATATGTGCAGAAGAAAATCGTTAACGTATTATATATTTGCCTAAATCATTTTACGCTGGACTGCTTCACAAACAATTGGGTCACTTCAATGCTGGATTTGCACAAAAATTGTTTCTGAACAATTTTTAGATTAACATGATGGTACATGCTAGTCGATGACTTGAATGAACGTTGTCTCACTAACGTGTAAGCCTAAACACTGCTACTGACAATTTCTGACATTTTTGCTGTGTGACATTGTCCAGTTTTGTTGTGGCCGAAGAATCGGTAGCATGTGGGGTATTTAAACTTCATATACACAGGACGAATTCCAAACCGTTTTTGCACCCTTGAATGTTACTTCGTCAAAGGGGAGCCATTTGTTGGAGCATTCAAAATGAAAGTGAAAAACTGCATCCCTTCACAAAGGGCCCTCCCTTCCACAGATCTGTTAGTGAAGGAAACATGCAATGGTCACTTCAAGGAAGTAGTTTAATAGTTTATGGTCATGGTCAGCCCTTCGGAGTAAGTAGGGCATAGGAATGCTCACTTCCGGTTGGAATTTGTGTACATTCTGGGGACACCAGAGACTTATATTACATCTTGTGAAAAGGGGTATAATAGGTCCCCTTTAAAAAAAAAATACTTGTAAAGAAATGAAAACTTATTGCAAAACAATGACTGTAGTGCTCTATTATGTGCATAAAATGAAGTTAATCATGTTCGAGGCTGTGCATTGTTGAAGATGTCCAATGTTTTCTGCGTCGCTATATATCTTGCTTTGTTAATACTTACGGATTCTTCTCGATGAGACAGACAACAAAGAGCCAGCATTGTCATGGGTTTACATCACAGACCACTGAATGTGAAAAAAAAGACTGTAAAAAAAGCCAAATTAAATATATGTAAATATATATATATATATATATATATATATATATATATATGAAGAGTTCAGATGCAAAAGCCTTTAAATGCCATTTGAAATTTTCTTCTTTAATGATGATTATCAAACTTTATATTTAAGTTCAGTAATTTCACTTAAATAACAATTAATAGGTAATCATCATTGCCATTTAAGTGAAATCACTGAACTTAAATATACAAGCTTGATAAAAAAGATCATTCTAGATGAAAATTTCAAATGGCACTTAGAGGCTTTTGCATCTGAACTCTTCATAATGAAACTGTCAGTGAAATATAGAGAAATTTTACATTTAATGCATATTCCTGTAAACTTTAACTTGTTATTGTGATTGTTTGTTTACTTGCTGCATTGACTGGCTGATTATCTACTTGCATATTTATTGACTGGTGGGACCATTTTCAGATGGACTTAAATCAAATGCCAGCTAGTGCTATGGACGTTTACATAACCTATATGGGAAATCTTTTTCTCTTCTGCATACTTATTAATTAAAGAGCAGTTATCAAAAAGCACTTCTATGGCTTGCTATGGGTGTAATGCACTGTGTTTATGATTTAAAATTCTGACTGGATGATATTTTGATATACATATATAAAGTTTCAGACCATCTCAAAATAACATTCTGTGGTAATGTTGATTTAAGGTGCAGGAAAAAAAATATTTGAACCCTTGGGTTTCCTCATAAACTTAGTCTGATCTGGGTCATAACAATTTTCTTGGGATGTCTGGTGCCTCGCTAGAGATAATGCCAAGCCATCTCACACTGTGAATGCGACAGTTGTTGCGCCGCCACAGCTTGAGGCTGTCTACACTGGATGCGACACATGACCAATGCAAATCCACATGTTCTTCATGTCAGTAGTTGTATGAGCGCGTCAGAAATAGAACGGGACATAAGTTTACTGCCAAAAATGTATCGTGTCGCATCACGCCGTGCCGCATTCACTGTAGACAGCATCACTGGGTTCTATTTGCTTTTGTTTTGCTGCTCGCATCTAGTGTTGATAAGGTGTAATTAGGCCTAAGGTCAGAACTCTGTCTGAGTCACATACGAAGGTATACGTATTTTCTTCTGTTGAAGCCATTCTGCTATTGATTTGCTCCTGAGCTTTGGGTCATTGTCCTGCTGGATCACAAGAGTTTCAAAAAGAGGAGAAAATGGATTGTATTCTCCAGCTATATGTCCTGATAAGCTGAGAATAAATAATTTTTGTCAATGAAAACAAGCTGTCCAGGCCCTCGTGCAACAAAGCAGCCCCAAACCATGGGATTCACATTCTTTTTCCACCATGCACTGTGAATGTTTAAACAGTGGGTTCAATAATTATATGAAAATGTATTAATGTTTGCGTGTTATTGGTTTGAGCAGAGGATTTACATACTTTTCTTGTAACTATATTTCTCAACTAAAAAAAAACTGTTTAAATGAGATGCATTCATATTGAGTGGCACCTCAGTTGCACAGCATGTGTATCTGCCATCATGCTTCATTTCCCACAGATCACTTTGTGCTTGTTAAAGAAAACAAAACCCCAGATGTCTTGAAATTCAAAGGAATTACACTGGTCTACAATTTTGTATTAGTCATCTGCTTTAGAGATAAAATGTGCTATTTATTATGTATATTGATGTGATAAATTCAAATATGACAATTAAAACAACCGACTGGCTACTGTTTCAAGATATTTAACATTTTTACGTTTTACGTCTATGTATATTGTTTAGGTAGTACCTGTCACCCTTCCTGTTTATGGAATGCTTTAAAAATCAGCAAACGGGTTATATAAATATAAAAAAAAATACATAGTTTAGTCCTGTTCAGAGTCTACTATGTGCTTCTTGGCTTGTTTCTTGTATTCATTGAATGGAGCATCTCTTGACACTGTCCAGAAATAGTCTACAAGCATTGGTGGGCTCCATTTGCTCAATTTGATGTTGTCTCCACTGCGCATACAAGTATGATGCATCTACTTTGGCTAAACAGAAATGTGCCTCGTTGCACAATCAAACACTGACATAAGACAACATAACACAGTCTCATCCCAAAAAGTCATATAACTGACGTCTTGGGACGTCTTTTGACCATACGTCAATATCCGCCTTTTAAGGGCTCCCTTAAACGTCGGTAGATGGCGATCCCGGGCCGTCATACAACTGACGCTTTACCTTTAACGTCTGTTAGGTGACGGGTTAGGTTTAGGTCTGGGATAGAGTTAGGATCCCATAACCTCATCTACCGACGTTTAAGGGGGCCCTAAAAAGGCGAATATTGACGTATGGTCAAAAGACGTCCCAAAACGTCAGTTGTATGACGTCTTGGGATGAGACCGGGTTGGACAACAAGACACTTTATGTCAGGGATGCAAAACTCCTGTTCCTGGAGGACCACAGCCATGCAGAGCTTAGCTTCAACCCTAATTAATCTAGCTATTTGTAAGGGATCACCTGGGTTTGTTTCTGTTTTGACTGGGTTTAAGTTATGCGTTTTAGTTCTGTGTTTTAAGTTTGTTGCTATGGTTTTTTATGTTTGATTAATTTTCACACCTGCTGTCCGTTTTGTTTGGTCAGTCCATTTAAGCATGTGTTTTGTTCTGTCTTTGTCCGTTTTCAATGGAAAGACCTCAAAAGACATGCCAGGAGTTTGTGGAGTGGGTAGTCCTCAACAATGGTTCCCCCTTCACCATCTGTGAGAGTGAGGAGGAAAACAGAGACTCCTGAGTCCACTGCAGACCGTAAGCCAGAGTCATGATAGAAAATCTTGAGCCAAAGCCAGAGCTATAGATCGCATTGGAGCTTGAGACAACTGCGTCTGACCAGGTGCGTGTGCACGTTCTTGTGGATTTACTGGTAAATTATGATGGATTGCAATTGATGGATGACATGGAGCCCAACCCCCTCAATAGTAGCTGGTGAAAGGGACTGGTAGCATGCCAGTCTGGCCCTGGAGTGTTGAACCACTAGCTCTGCCTAGAACCTCCAGGCCAAACTCTACCTCGGCTTTTGAGCAGTTGGCTCCACCTTGGCTCCTCACCCACTCAGCTCCATCCAGGAATGTCATCCCTATGACTACACTAGGCATCCTCATCCCGCTAGCTCCGTCTTGATCAGTTGCCGCTTTGCCTGCGCCATGGTCTTCCAGGCTTTCAGCTGCAATCCTTCAGCTTTATCAGGCTCCTCCTTCCCTACAGCTCCGCCTTGATCCTCAGTCACTCTGCCTTCATCTCCGTCCTCCACCATCCCGGATCCACCCTGATTGCTCGCTGCGATGGACCTTCGATGTCGCCAGGTCCTGTCAGCTCTTCGGCTCTGCCTGGGTCTCCTCCACCAATCGGCTCTGTCTCAGTCATGTCTTGACCCCCTGGTTCTGCCGATCAATTCTTCACCAGGACTCCATCCTCCTCCGACTCCGCTGTGGGCTTTCGTCCTAGAGTTCCAGCTGGGGCTCGTTCCGTCTTTGCCTGAGTTCTTGCACCCAAACCACCTCTTAATCTTCATTCATTCCTCCTCTGTTGGACTTTGGTTTTGATGTTATTTCTGTTAAGGCGTATAGTGGCGCCTTCTTGATGTGGACTGTCTGCTGGATAGATTCCCGAAGCTCTCACAGATATCTCTCCTCCCTCGCTTGTTGTGTGTCGAGGAAGTCCCTCACCAGGTTCACCATCCCCCTGCTGGACAATGTGGAAGGCCTGCTGGTATGTGATGTACTGGATTTGCTCGACACTGGAAGCTCGACTGATGAGGCCTCTTCTCCCTCCAATCTCAAGCTGTCCCAGGTCTTGTCCCTTTTAGCCTCCAGCTTTGCTTGTGAGCGCAGACCAGGCCTCTTACTGGAGGTTTTGGTGCTCTTTTTCATTCAAGCACTGCCACCAAAAATGATTCTGGGATCATCTGGGTTTGTTTCTATTTTGTGTGGATTTGTCATGTGTTTTAGTTCTGTGTTCTAGTTTATTTGGTCTGTCTATTTAAGCACTGTGTTTTGTTCTATTCTTTCTGTGTTCATCGCATTTTAGTGTGGTTGTTCTATTCATGTCTTGATTCCTAAATTTCTAAACTATATCACTGCTCTAATTAGATTCTTTCTCCCTCGTCATTTCAACCCGCTGTGATCAATTCCTTCAGGCTTATTTGAAAACTACAGGTATGTGTGTTGAAACAGGGTTGCAACTAAACTCTGCTGGGCTGTGGCTAATATAGGGCAATTTGTCGAGCTGAGCTTTGTTATAATTGCATCATTCATGACGTTCTAGGAATAACAATTCACATCATGTATGACGCAATGCCAGCTTCAGATTGCATAATTCACTGTTTTTCCTAAAAAGCAAGTATTGCCAAAACCCAGTCATGGATTTATTCATAGATCCACACAAAGATGTATTTTAGTCATTTCTGGTTTAAATTGAGATCCCTTTCCTTTACTACACACTTATCCCCTGCCATTCCCAAGTCAAGGTTGTATAAACTGATCCAATAGCATATCTTGAAAATTAGAGCCAATCAAACATTTTAAGCAGAATTTCCATTCTTAGGGACCCATATTTATTAAAGTTTGAATAAATTTATTTCAGAAGCATTTTGGCTCTAGATCAGTGTTATTGGGATTCATTATTGGTCAGTGGATTGTCAGTGTCAATGTGATCCCCTTAGTCAGAACCACCATAGTAGGAACCATCACATATCTGTAGACTTTACACTGTTTCACACTTTCAGTGATTGCAGTTTCATAGTGAATACTGGTAGTCAATTATACAGTTATATGATTATGCTGCAATTCAAACATTATTTAAATTAGTCTCCTTAGCTCCGTATACTGTTGTTATCTGGTAAATCAGTTGTGTCTTTATCTTTGGTTGATGATTTATACACAGCTGTTACCAACTGTTTTTTTGCAGCACCAAACTATGTGTATATATTACGTAAAAAATAAATAAACAACAATAATACTTTCCTTTATTTTGAGACTTGCAGGTTAAAACAGAACATTAGATGGCTGAA